ATTTTTAATTTTAGTTTGACTTTAAAAGTTATTTTTATTATTTCGTTTGAATTTTTGAAAATATTTTCGAAAGTTAATTACCTTTAAAAGTGCATGGCTTAATAAAAAAAATACAAACTGATAAGTACTGATTAGCTTATTTTTATTTTATAGTTTTGTACAAGTGTTGTGTCACTTCTAATCAATACCGTTTTTTATAATTAAGTAGACTATGTTTGAATAAATATTGTTCATCTAATTGATTGCCTTTTAATTTTATTTTAACCATTAATATACTTAAATCAGGCCTGGCCAACCCACGGCCCGTCACATTAAATTGTGTGGCCCGCTAAGCGATATTATATATCTATTAAAACTTTCGTTTTTCGTTTTGTGTATACTGAAACAATTAAATAAATGAAAATTTGCATGTGTTATTGTTATAATGCACAAGTGCAAGTACAAACTCTTGGTATAACAATGAAATCTTATTCATTTTGTATTTGTTTTACTTTTTTAAAAGCATGTTTGCCTAAATTGTGGCCCATTGTAATGTTATGTGTGATCAAAGTGGCCAGTGAAACAATTTGGGTTGGCCAGGCCTGACTTAAATAATAATTCTAAATCAGTTCGGACTAGGACAAACTAGTTAAGCCTAATATATTTAAGCCAAACTAGATTGTCTTAGGCTAAACTAATATATCCTGACATGGGTAGGACAAACTAACTTGGTCTGAAATCGGGTTTGGCCAGTAACATATATATAAGATAAAGTATAAATTTTAATTAGAATGTTTACACCAAATTCTATTAATTAATTAAATTCCAGTGTAAAAGTTTAGAACAGATGCGGCAATATTTAGTTATTTAGTGTGATTGAAGGAATATATTGAAAGATATTAAAGTTACTGTCTTTAATGAAAATGATGTTGCTTTATTATGTTTCTGCTATTTGCTACCATATAATTATCCACATATCAGTTGTTGCCTGCTGATTGTATGTTTTGGGTACAGATTTATGCAATGATCATAAGTCTAAATTAAAATTTTAAACTGAAAAACATTAAAGTTAACTTGTATGCCAGGTTGACAGGCTTATACAATAATCATTTAAAATGTGTTATTTCAAGACAAGAATACAATATATTTTTGTATTTTAAAGTAATACAATATAAATTTTATGAAATGAATTAAACTTTTTAACATATAACACTTATTGTACTGCTATAATATTAAATATGTTAATGTTTAAAAACATTTGTTTTATTTTTATTTATTCAAGTGTTTTGTTTTTGTTTTTAATGATGATATTTAGTATCAGCCTAAAAATTTTTTAGTAAACTTAAAATGCTTTTTTAATGATAGTCATTTTGAATTATTAATATAATGTAATAAATATGTAAAACATTTTATTTATATAAAACTTTGTATTTATCAATGTAGCACACACTAACTGGTCATGGAGGAAAAGTAATGGCTGCTAAATTTCTTGGTGAATCCAGTAAAGTTGTATCAGGTAGCCATGATCGTACTCTAAAGATTTGGGATCTTCGTAGCAGAGCATGTAAGGAACTTTTAAACTTATTAAAATATTTATATATAAATAAGTACAGGTATTCCTTACATAATACAGTAGTTAGGATCTTATAAAATCTGTTATAGTATCACTACTTGATTTTTGTAACTATCTGAAACTGAATTTTTATTAAAAACTGTGAACTGAAATTAAACATCTTACAAACTGTAATACTGATATACATCTATTAATTTTCTTCCTCTAAATCTCTGCTACTCACAATCAAATGAGAGCATTTTGGGAATAATTTGTGAGCTTCTGCAGAATATCTCTGCCTTGAAACTTACAAAACATCTAGATGCTTCAAAGTATTTTCTGTTCTTTTTAAAACATTAGTAATTTGCAGTCATATCTTTTTGTTTGTTAGATCTTTACAAATTTCATGGTATGGAATTCAGCACTTTTGAAGCTATCCTTTTGAGCTTTGTGCTCCTTTTAATCAAAAGAATCTGCATTGAAATCATGAGTCCAATTGTTCAACTAAGCTCATGTCTTCTCTCATGTTTTTTAGTGTAAAATTAGGAACCTAAGAATTTTCATTTCTGTTCTCATCCTCTAAATTGATTCGTTTTATCTTTGATGCCATTTTGTACCAAATCTACTTTACCAGTGATTATTGAACATCTTCAATAGTCATATTACTAAAATCTTTTATTTCTACCAGTTTATCAAATTCTACTATAGTTAAATAATTAAATATCAAACTCAGCTTCAATTTAAATAAAGTATTCTCAGCGATAGAAGGTGTTAAATGTTTTATTAAGTGTCCTACTATAGTATTGATTTTGTTTTCTGGCTGTTTGAACATATTATCCAAATGAATTGACTATGGCCTTACTTTTACCCATATGTCTAGGCTTTATTTTTTTAACAATAAAAATATGATTTTGATACTGTCCCTAATTGAAAATATTCCCATTCCTCTATTACTTAGGTAGATTTGGAATCAAATGTTTTTTTAAAATTAATCATAATGATTTTCTAATGTAATGAATTTTAAAAGTAGTTATAATTACAAAGTTTGCAAAAAAAAATAGGAATGTTTAAAAAAAATTATAACCAACTTAATAGCAAGCAAGGTTCTGCATGNAATTTTGTAAATTTAAGAGTGCTTCAAATATGACGTTAAAACAGGGTTTTATGTCGTTACAAGTGGGTGTTTTAACATTATCTAGTATAGTAAAATCGTGGGGCCGATAAAAATTTGACGTTATATTAGGGTTTTCGTTACATCCGATGTCGTTATAATCGGGTTAAACTGTATTTTCATTAATTGATGATTGTTTTATTTACTATATATAAAATAAGGAAGATTTTGTAATTTATTGTATGTCAGGGAAAAGTGATGGCTTCCATCTTCTATGAAGTGAGTACCCGCACCAGTTGCTCCTTCTCTGCAGCCATGCAACGACTTGGCGGTCACGTCATCCAGATGGATGAATCCACGTCTTCTGTGAAGAAAGGAGAAACTTTGGAAGGTAATTTGAACATTATGAAAACAATTCTCAAAATATACATCTGTCACTTTGTATAAAAAAAACGTATTTAAAGGCTGTTAAAGAATGTTGCCTTGATCTTTATATAAACAGCGTTTAAGTTGAAAACATATAGAAATACTCCATTGTATATATTTAAAATATGTTTCTGATAAATGAGTCTTTGTTTTAATTTTTATTCATTTACACTAATAATTTACACCTTTTGTTCTTTCAAAGATGTAATAAGATGGGAAATTGGGTTAATTGCAATTTAAAAGTGGGTGTGGATTATCTTTTGATTTTAAATTGTAGTTATGAACTCATCAAACAACTTTTCCTTTGTCTACTAGCCTAGAAGTTTTTTAAAAAATCATGAGAAATACTTTATACGCTATACATATTCATCTGCCCCTACAGTTTTTCTAGAAATCACCAAGGGTAAATATATGTATGCCTTCTCAACTATTTTTTATACATCAAACCTCATTTCTTATTTTAATTGATGGTTAATTATAAAACAGGTATAAGTAACATTTTGTGTTCTGTTGTATAGCTTATGCAATAATTATAATACATATACCAAATTTTGTTTGTAGGGTCCTCTCATGACAGCAATTCTTCTAGAAAATATTCACATATTTGGAGACATATAATGTTTGCATACTCTCTTGCACTCTTGCACTTCTCTTGGAGTATGAAAACATTAGGGTTTATGTTTTGTATTGACACACATGGGATACAATGCAATTATTTTTCATTTTTGTCAAAAATACAATGGCTCTTTGGAACATATCATTAATTAGTAAAGTATCTTCTTCCCTAAGTTTTCTGATGTTTAATACTAAGAAAAACTCTCTTGCCTATTGCCAAATATAATCAAGCATTTTGCAGAGGTCATTATGTTTTTTGATAGAAATTGGAATATTGTTTGGCTACTTCATTGGGACATCTGAGTATCTGGGAAAGGATGTCGCCTCCTCTTCTTGCTACACTTACTATCTTTTCATCTACAGGAAAATACTGGTTACTTGGAAAATATAACAACAGCTCTGATCTGTCAAACTTTAGCATTCTGCAGTTCTGAAGATCAACCTTTTTCCTTTTGCAGAGATAACTTTCTATTTACTCAATGCTCGAAATCTCCAGATGGCATTTTGTGCATGTGAAAAAGCTTTTGGCTTCATGTTTCTTTATTAAATTAATCCAATTGGAGACCATAAAGACACTGGGATAATCTGCCAAATTATCAAACTATAATAAGGCTAAGTTAATAATTAGATATGAATTAATTTGTCTAGAGATAGGCAGTTAAGTTGCCATTTCATGATAATTTTAATAATTATAATAAATTAATATTTAATTTATTATAGTTTTTTATGGAAGAAAAGAATTGTCTCAACTTCTGCATACCATGCAAATGTGTTGCCAGCTACACGACCTCCATCTGATTTTTGCTTCTGGAATAATTTAGGATATAATCATATAGGTTGATTATTACAGCCCAGTAATATAGCAGATTGTCTGGTTTTAATCAAAAATTGAGTTTATGATGATGATGTCTATATGATTCTAAGGTGTGGCTAAGTACTAAATAGAAAAATGTTACAAATGTCCAAAATATTTATTGTATTAAAGTTTTTATTTTGTCCTCCATTGGAATCTGAGAAGGCAGCTAAATGTTTGTATTCTGATCACAATTTCTTTGAATCTCTGGTAAAACCTTCCAAAGGCATGACATAACATCATATGAGCCTCCAGTAGCTATACTCTCAGGCCATACACGTGTACACAGCATCATCAGTGTTACAAACTTACAATTGTCTTAAATAGAACACACTTTCTATATGAATCAGAAGGACATAGCCTACTTCTAGCACCAAATTATTTAGAATTTAATTATTAATAGTAGCAGTAAAATAATTTGATTCAATATGGCAATTGTTTGGCTTATTATTAAAAAACATCAGGCTTTGAAATGTTTATAGAAGAGTTTTCTTGAATTTCTGGAGCAATTCTACCTAATGTTCCTATCTTAGTGTTGCACATGCCTTTATCACTTGAATGTTTTAATGCAAATTATAAAATTTTCATTATATAAGTAAAGGTATGCAAGAGTAATGTTATATGCTTAAAGTGATGTATCCAAAATATGACAACATACTGGCCTTAGTTGAAAATTCAAATTTTGTTTACAGACCTTCAAATGATATTTTACACACTTCTATTTGAATTTATATCTTGAAAGTTCCTGATTCCTGATAATTTTTCTCTTTCTATATCTCTCTAGAGAACTATTTAGAAGCCAACCATCAATTTTAGTGTATATTAAGTTCTCTACTGTGAATAAGGGCTAAGTAATCATCTCTCAAACCCATGTCATTGAATATTGTAGAGTCTACTTGCAACTTTTTTGATCAAAAAAATTATTTGCATTAACACAATCATTGACCACTTATTTAGTTGACACCTGGTAGGGTAATTATTCCTGCTGAGAGTCGTCATACTAGCTACGGTTGTCTCATCAACCCTAGATAGCTTTTCAAACATCCAGTGTACTACAGATACTATTTATGTCAAAATTTAAATACTACTATTGTAACTGGAGAAACACTAAACTTGTGTAATACATCCAAACTCCAGCACTAAAGTGAAGTATTTACAATGTGGAATGAATGTTTAAAACATTCTTCACAATACACTGTTTTACATTCAAAAGAAATATAGAACCTGATTAGGGAGGCTTAAGGTCACCGAAAACATTTGTTCATTGTAAATATTCCACTTCACTGCTGGAGATTGGGTATATTATGTAAGTTTATGTTAAAAAATTTTTGAGTTTATTTTAGCATTATTAACCAAATGATGATTCCAGATTAACTTTTGATCTAGAACTTGGCCAATTAATATAATAAACACTGTATAATTTAATTTAATTTGATGGGATACAGCAACACAATATGTGGGTGGTGCATTCTGGCAGGATTCTCTATGGGAAACTGGCCTGTATTTGGTGTTACAAATGTTAAAAAAATTCAGAAATCTCCATGTGACCCGCCATTTTGTGAGGTGCAAACCTTTAACCAACTGCCAGTGTTTGAAGGTTCTATTCCACCAGTGAGCCTACATAATTTGGACAATAGGTAAGAGATTATTTAAAGTACATGGCAAAAAATTGTGAAAAATGCAATGTCTCTTTACAAGTTTATTTCTCAATTAAATCACAAAATTTGTTCACAGTCATAAACTACAAACTTGACATTTATGATTAGTTGTGAAAATTAGCACTTAATCATTGTTCCATTCTTGACAGTACACTCAAGTGAATGGATGAGTCATGCTGCTCACAAGTGACTCCACCGGCTCAGCATCGATCATGTACCAAACCTCTTGCATTTTGAACAAAGAATTCTTCACAATGAAGTTTTCTTTTTTGGATCTTAATGCTCTAGGTGTTTCTTGAGGATAGCTGTTATTTCCATTAATTCAAAAATGACACACATATAAACTGGAACTGTAATGTTCAAATAAATAATACCTGAAAGCAATTTTCAGCAAACAACAAGTAACAATTTACTGGTCAAGCGTTTTTGGCCCAATTTATCCAACCCTCATCAGAAACAAATACAAAAGAAACAGTTCTATCATTCGAACATCGCCACATTCCAATTTTTAAGCATTCACAAAGATTTTCAGTTGAGACAGTGACACACCATTTACGTCATAAATAAAAAAAGCAATTTTTACAAGGTGTAATGTTATAAAATGAAATTATTAATAATAACTTTTTTGGCACTCTAAATAATAATTCCACATTTTGGAACTTGACTACAATCTGAGTTGATACAATTTCCATTCCTATCAGCTATATAAATTTCTAAGGACTCTAACGATTTTATGTCATGTCGGTCAAAGACCGTATGTAAAGGTGGTCTCATCCCAACAGGAAACACCTGGTTTGGTATCATAATGGCAAGAGTTTTCCATTAATTCTTAGAAAACATTCTCTGTACCTCCCCAAACATGAAAAAACACAAGTTTATGGATATATTTCTTCAAGAATTTGGAATGTCGTGTGGAATTTTCAATATGTTGCAACAATGATGCTTTAATCAAAATCCCATAATATGATTCCTCATTAAGTAGAGACAGATGTAGTTAAGAGATCTGTTGTTAAACAGTAAGCCAAGGATGCTTATCTTAGGTTTACTCCTTAATGATACTTTATCAATATATGAATGTTTATATATATATATATATAGATATATATATATATTACTTTGTGTTCAGTACCTTGTTTCTTGAACTTTGCAATTTTATTACGCTTTATATTCATCATTGGATATTGCGTATAATTTTTTTCCATGAATTTTAACTCGGATAGAGCCGTGTATTTCGAAATGTCTATTTCTATCCCGTTTGGGAGAATTAATTTCTGGTTCGCATGGCTTTTCTTTTATCCGAGCTTTTTTATAGTATTTTTCCTTCGAACAGTTGAGATATATGTTCCTACACTACATAGAAGGGGAAGGAAAATTATAAGGATCCATACTGAATCGAGAATTGAACTTCCCATAAATTTTTGTACCATGTCCAGTGATTCCTAAAAACATTACCTTCACTTTGTTCAATCTTGTTCTTATTCTTTGTAGCAAAGTCTGACAAAAACGTTACTTATGATCGTGTATCGGTTGATAAATTTTCCGGTGTTCCATTGATTTTGAAAAACAGTATGAGTTCAAATTTTCCATCTGTTCCTGAAGGTCAACTTGACATAGAAAGTAGACTTTTTTTTTTTTAACAGATGTAACTTTTCCTATTTCTTCTATTTCTTTGCTCGTAGGACCTATTTTAAAAATTAAAAGTATTAAATGTATAAATTTCTAAATAAAATTTAAAACATATTGAAACTAACAAATATATAATTACATGCACGTATTGTTTGATTTGATAGATACTTATTCATAAAATTAAATAAATAATGAAACAAGAAGGAAAGGATAAAAATAACTTTTTATTTAGAAATACAATCAATTTTAAAGCTATACAATGGGTACATGAGTAACT